GGGGTCGGGGGGGGGGGGGAACGGCGAGGCGGGGAGGGCAGCGCAAGGCTTGGCGGCCAGGCGGGGAGAGACCAGCGACGTTCGGAGCCGCCTCCTCAGTTTGAAGCCCCCCCGCCCCGCCCCCCGCGAGTTTCGCGGGTCCTCTTTCTTGTTAAACACATATTAGTGAAACTTAATCAATATCGTTACATGATTCTACGTCTTAACTTTATATTTTCAGTCTTGTATACTGCCGTTTCAATTGTAGAATGCCACTTAAAAACATGTGACCAACAGCATAGACACCAATATTTGGGTTAATGGAGATTTAGAGCTAATGAATCAAAAGCCTGATTCTTCCAGTGGATAGTCTGCCACATCCATTGGATCTAGGAGAGCCTCCGAAAATGTACAGTTGTTGTAGTGATGAACTGTATGCAAATAAGTCATTCCCCTGACATTGCTTTGGCGCTACATTATTTTGCAAAGAATGCCTTTCACCTTGCAGGATGCTGTGACTAGCACTTAGTGGAGCAGCATGGAAAAATCCAAATCAGGGATTTGTGAAACAATTTTTATGAAAGTGTGGCTTGATTTTTGGTTCATTGTAAAGTCACAAGTTTAGATGGAAGAGTACTAAAAGTATTGTGACGGGGGCAAACATGGTGTGGAGTAAACAGTCGTTGCAGTACATAACTTAAAGTCTAATAATTAGGTTAGTGCAAAAAGATTTAGATGCTAAGCTATCTGAATATGAGAAGTAAAACAAAAGAATAATATGACAGTAGTTGGGCAGTTCTTTCATCTTTGTATAATATACCAACATTCACTTTCAGCCACTGTAGCAATTCTTGCACAGCTCTTGTGTATCAGACAACCTTGAACACAGCCTATGATGAGTAAATGTCAAGAAACTGATCCTATCTAGCCATTTCTTGGTCTTTCAGATTTTGGTTCGGGCTTTGGGGCCTAGTTAAATTACTGAAGGCTTCTGTCTAAGATAGTTAATGCCACAATGACTTGTATTTTCAAGAGAGCTAAGGGATGAGATGGAGTCAGGCACAAGTGCAAGTGAAATCATGGGCCTGGGAACTTCAAGGCCAGAAGGAGTTTTGCACTAGCATTCCATTTCATTAGAGCAGGGAACCCTAGGCGAGAGAAAGTTGCTTGCTTGTGGGTATGTGCTAGCTGCAGAAGTACATGGTTATGTGCCCTAGCAACATACTGGATTGGTCAAACAAGATTATGACAGCTGGAGGTAGTCTGGCATAAAGCAGGAACATTCATTCCAGTTTGGGCCTTCCTTCCTTGGGCCTAGGGTTGCCAACCTCCAGGTACGGCCTGAAGATCTCCTGCTATTACAGTTGATCTCTGGGCTATAGAAATCAGTTCTCCTGGACAAAATGGCTGCTTTGGAGAGTAGACTCTATAGCATTGTACCTTGTTGAGGTCCCTCCCCTCCACAAACCCCACCCCCAAAATATCCAGGTATTTTCCAACCCAGAGATGGCAACCCTATTTGGGTCTGCCTTTCTTCTTGACATTATTTTGTCTGTAAGTTGGGCTTTGTGGATTTGGAGGGTTGGAGTTCAATCTGGACCCTGTACTTTCAATCTGACCAGGTAATATCTGGGTCAGATGACTAAAGCCTGAATAAATATGCTAGGATAGTTCTTTGGTTTTATTATTTTCTTCTGTGCTTTGCACCACTTCTATATTTGTATACTTTTGCTCATTCTTTTAATAAAGCTTATTAATTATACTCCTGTGGTGTTATTATATAAACATGGAATCTGGAAAGAATTATGAATATTTTGCTGCCCTGCAAAGGACCGCCGGTATTGGTGCATTTTCCTGTGGTCCAACCCTTGAAGGTATAGTGGTTGTTTGCAGACTCTAATCTGGGAGAACCAGGTTTGATTCCCCACTTGCAGCTGCTGGATGACCTTGGGCAAGCCATAGTTCTGACAAGAGCTGTCCTTGAAAGGGCAGTTCTTGAGAGAGCTCTCTCAGTCCCACCTACCTCACAGGGTGTCTGTTGTGGGGAGGGGAAGAGGAGTTTGTAAGCCATTCTGAGACTCCGAGTGAAGGGCAGGGTATAAATCCAATCTCTTCTTCTTCTTCTACCATGCCACCAAAAGGATTTTTTTTAATTCAGTAGTTGTTATAGTGCTATAGAGTTATAACAATCTATGGCTCTGTAGTGGAACAGACCCACTCTGGCCTGCAGATCCTGTTCCACCCTACCCTCCAATGTTTTCCCAACACTTGGAGAGGCCTCTGCCAACATCTGACCTTAGTAAGGAATTGGCCACTGGGAGGGTCAGGACTCCCAGCTTCCCTTCCAAGTTCTGAGGCCTTGCCTCTGTGTCTCCTACTGCCCAGTGCCTGGTCACCATGGGGACTTGGAGGAATAGCCACTTGACAACTGTCTGCCTTCCTCCTGGCACACTGTCCAAAACAGTGGAGGTCTATGTGGTACAGAGAACCACTACCACCATCCAAAGTTATAAAGCATTTATTAAAGAGAAATTTTTCACAAGCATACTTTCAGCACAGCACTAGATTGAGCAAGGGGTTAAAAATGGGTAAAATGTAATTTCTCTGTCCCTCTGTCTATACATGTCCTATCAGATGTTAAAATATAGGACAGAATCCTTAGCTTAGGATGTTATAGATCTCTCCAGAGATGCCATTACCTTGTAGCTTCCTCCAGCTCTCCAGGCCAGCACATGGTTAATGGCTGCCTTCCCCAGACCTCAGTTAGGAGTTCTGTCTGCTCTGATGGACTTCCTTCTTGCTCCCCTGAGTTTTATCACCTCTCTTTTTCCTACCTACTGACCAGGTCAGGCCGGGTTAGAGAAGCTTTTCCTGGAGATACTTCCTGGAGTTCCTTCCTGAAGGAATTTAATTCCTCCAAATCTCTGTTCCCTGCTTGGAGTGGGAGGGGGGATGGACCTTCATATTATCTCTAGCTAGACCTATTAGAAATAAAAAAAATCTTAAGAGGTAGCTGAGGTGAGCCTGGAAAGCTGTTAACTGACTATCTCTGAGCAGAGAACAGGCAGGGAGGAGGAAGTCAGTTAACAGCTTTCCAGGCTCACCTCAGCTACCTCTTAAGATTTTTTTTAAAAAAACAAAACACAGAGTGAAGGTTTTACTCATTTCAAGCTCCAAAGGGGGGGAAATATATTTCTTTTTTCTTTTTCTTGTTTTGATTCACAATTTATTAATTTCTGTAGTGAACAATAATACAGAATATTGATCTTATTTTCCACAATCTATTATATTATTCACCCCCAAAATTATTTATAAATAGAAATGTTCTCAAACTAATCCACTCCTATTATACCTAATTGCTAACCAAGAATTACTTCCTATGTATTTCTTCACAGCCTCTAAGCTATTTCAAATGTTAATAGAATTTTATAGTGCATATGTGAACAAAATATCGACAAAAATGGGATGGTGAGTCACCATGGCAGCCATAACAACCATGTCCCCAACAGCCACTGTGAGGTCACTGCAGAGCCTATGTGGAAAGAAAAAGTTGGGGAAATGATGGAGGAAAGTATGTAGGCAAATATGTGTAGAAGCTCTGTCACCAACACACACACCTCTGAAATGTGTTACAGTTCTTAGAGTATTAGACTAGGACCTAGAAGACCTAGGTTCAAATCCTGCTCTGCCAACAAATGCACTGTGTGACCTTGGGTCAGTTATGCTCTCTTAGCATAAGGTAAGTGAGAACAAACCACCTTGACCTCCTTGGAG